TAACCACTAAGAAACTTTGTTCTCTATGCATTTGCCTGTTTTACACAGATGAGACCATAAAATATTTATCCTTTTGTGACTTATTTCACACAGTGTAATATTTTCAAATGGGAAAATTTTGATATAATGCATACTTTTGTCTTGAGGTAACTAACTCTCTGGAGAACTTTTGAGTTTTTCTTCTTGGGGTGATGGGTATATGGAACATAGATTGTGTTCATTTCCTCCTGCAGCTTGTGAAATGCACTCATGAGATAACTAGCCAGTTGGTAGTAGATCTGGATCAGTAAAGTGGAATAGAGAAAGTGGTCAAGACCATGGCCATGGCATTGGTGAGCAAGCAGTTAAAACAAGTAGAGTGCTGCGACCTGAACACATTTAGAGATATGCTTAGAAACTTAACAAAAATAATTATTTAAGCTTAGCCTTCTGCGAAAGTTTGTCATAACTTGTTTGTCCTTTAAGTTGTTCTTACTAGTATGAAAATGCATACTAATTTCAGCACTTCTCAATTAGGGTAGCATTTCCCAAACTGGGAAATTTATAAGAATTTGTTGTCTGAAGTTGCAGAATTTAATGGAGGTTTTCTGTTTTATTTTGGGTTGTGTGCCGTGCTCTCTGTCTTTTCTGCTGTTGGTGTCCCCTGGAATCGGCATTCTCATTACTATGTGTGTAAGGTTTTTGTTCCTACTATCTCAGTGTTCAGTTCTCTCTTCTTTCTGTCTCCATTCTCTTATAGACAACAACTCACATGAAAACCAAACTGAATTATTAAAATAAGTGAAATGAGGCAAAGATTTTACACAGTTGCTTTTGCTTTCACAAAGGACTTGGCAATCTGGCATTTATGTACATAGATTTGAGGATTGATGATGCAGAAATGTTGCTTTCGACTATAGAAAACTACTTTTCTGGCTTTTGACTATAGAAAACTACTTTTCTGTTTCCATTCTAGCTTCCAATTTATCTTGTTATTTCAAAACTTTGTTTTTACTGTGGGTAGAGATCCATATATATATATATGCTTACATCAATAGCCTGTATATTAAACTCTTAGTGTTTTAAAAACTTCCAAATCTCTCTACCGAAGTGTTTATGAAAAAGCCTTATGTAAACAAATTCTTATTAAGAATCTTCTATAGGTCAGATATAATCCTAGTCCTTTACTGTCCAAACCCACTGCCATCGAGTCAATTCCAACTCATGGCAACCCTCCAGGGCAGAGTAGAACTGCCCCATAGCGTTTCTAAGGCTGTAAATCATTACAGAAGCTGACTGTCTCATTTTTCTTCTGCAGATCAGCTGGTGGGTTCGAATTGCCAAACTTTTGGTTGGTAGGCAAATGCTTCAACCATTATGTCACCTGTGTTCCTTCTTTTACTCTCCGCATCCTATAGATCATGACAGGATTTGTTTTTGATAACTTTGAAAACTAAGGAAAAACTTGAAGAAGCATGTACTATTTGAATATTGGTGATCCAGACTGTCAGAAAGCTGTTTATACCACTAATTCAAGACTTAATTCTTTATGTAACTCTGAATTGAGTAAAATAAAAATAAAATGTGTTGCAGTGCAGACAGTTAATTTAACACTTGTTAAGGGGAAAAAAAAGGCATGATTAGTTACTGACATAATTCTTTGAGATTGAAGACAGCTGGCTTGAATTAGCAGGTTGTGTAGTTTGTATCGTACATAATGGATGAGCACCACAAGAATAGGACCCATCAGACTCTGCGTGGAAAGCTGAATGAAACTGAAGAAAGGAGAATCTGAGACATGAGTGCCTCGTTCTGTAGAAACCCTCTTGGTTAAATACATTAGTCTGAGATACGACTTCTGGCAGGCATGGAGTTACTAATGTGCCGTCCCTGTTGCAAACTATCTGAAAGCAAAGAACGACTCTTCATAAATGGAGCAGTTTGATTTACCAGATGCTTAAGAAACCTGATAAAAAAGGCTTAGAGACTAGGAAATAAGGCATGTAAAATTAGCATTTTCCTTTTGAGCAGTTCATTTCTTAGCTTTCTATATATTTTTTATTTTTATTATTCAAAATTAACATATCTATAATTAATTCTGTAGTTTTTTGATGAAAGTAATTTTGAAGAAAATTTTCTGCTTTTTTTTTAGTAAAATTCTATTGAGTTTCTTTCCTTGATATTTTAAATAGTATTATCAGTTTTACTCTTTATAGTCATACAGACATAGAATGTTTATTCATAAACATATACTTACAAACAAGATCACTATGGAATCACATGTCTTACTGTACTTGGCTTAGTCTTCATATCAGTATTTTACAACACTGGTCAGTCTATACCTTTTTGTATTTTACTTAAATATTTACCAAATGTGGATATTTTCATTCCTTTCTTTTTGATAGGATTCTCAAATCAAAGTGTGTGACATTTTAAAAAGGCATGTAGCTTTTGCCCTTTAAAATGTATATTGTTTGTCACAGAATGTGAGAGTATATAGGTGGTCAGTATCATCAGTTTATGTCCATTTTTGAAAAATTAACTTAAATCACAAGTCTCTATTGGTGATTACTTAGTGGCATCATTTCCACATTACAGAGACTAACAGAGGACCCAGAAGGGTGGGAGATCCACGATGCTCATTAAGTTTAAAATTGTTTTTTTAACTTAAAATCCCCATGGGTTTTGCAGCCCTATGATTGGTTTTCTATTCCTGAACTCAAGTGAAAGTCATAGCAATGGATTTTATACTTACAACTTTTCAGAGGTTGAAACTTTCTGATATATCAGTAGAGCTCAGTTTGTGTTGCAGAAATTACTCAGCAAACACTGTGCATTTGCTGCCTTCTCAGGTCTGTGTAATGTAATAGGAAAAAGAGAAGAAAAGAGCATGGCCACTGCAAAGCTCTACAGCTGTGTGTTAAGTAAAAGTCTGGAACCCATAAAATGAGGATAAGCAAACTATATCAAAACCAATTGTCATTGCATTGAATCTGACTTACAGCAACCTCATTTTAACCACCCATGGACTCCAAACAAGCAATATATGAACTATATAATTAAATTTTAGGTTTAGCAATGATAGCAGTAGTTCAGAAAGAGGTGTAGAATAAAGAGCACTGGAAAATACAACAAAATTTTTATGAAAGAGGAGAAAAATTGATTTGGTCTTTAAGGGTGGGTGCATTTTGTATTTGTGAGAAGATGGAAGGAGGACATTGCAGATGAGGAAAACACCATGAAAAGTTTCTATGGTGGTCATGTTTCTCATTACAGTGACACTATCTGGTAGCACAGTGTGGTAGTTCAGTTTGTATGTCAACTTGGCTGGGCCTGGTTGAGTGGCTGGGCAGCTGGTGGTAGTTATTCTCCATGATGAGACTGGCAGTCGACTCCATGGCGGGATCTACCACAAGCAGCTGAGTAGCTGCCTTTGGGAAGTGGTCTCATTCCTGTATATAAGGAGAAGCCTTGGGGATAGTCTCTAGCTTATGGCACCTTGAACCCTGCATGTAGCTGTGTCATTGTTCAGCAGCCTGCCATGCTCTGCTGACCTTGAGACTTACAATGGACTTGAATCAATGGCCTGCCATGTGATTTGGTAATATTGGGAATGTGCCTTTTTACCTGTCAACCTTGGGTTTGTCAGCTTCAGCCGCCAGCAGCTGTCTGAGGGAAGAAAAGCCTCTAGGTCCAGTGGGCTGGGAGCAGGAGGCAGAGCAGGACCCCAAGGTTGAGGGGCTTTCACCCAGCCCCTAGAGCCTGGCACTTTGAACTTGGACTTGAAGCCTCCAAATTGTAAGAATAAACTCCTATTTGTTAAGGCCATCCCATTTGTGGCATATTTCTTGTCAGAGTGGCACTAGGTAACCACAACACGCAGTGACTAAGGCATCTGACTGCTAACCAGAGGGTTGGTGGTTCAAACCCACAAGCTAGTCCATAAAAGCAAGACTGGGCAATCTACTTCTGTAAAGATTTACCACTTGGAAACCCAATGGGGGTTGTTATGCACTGGAATCGACTCAATGACAGTGGGTTTTTTTCCATTTATTAATATATGTATTGTATTTCTTGAAACGTTGTTGTTGTTGTTGTTATGTGCCATCGAGTCGGCCCCGACTCATAGCGACCCCTCCTTGGGTTTTCGAGGCAGTATCACTACAGAAGTAGGATTGCCCAACAGATACAGACATATTAAATTATAATTTGGAGTCCTGAATGGTCTTCTGATATTTTATTTTCTCTGGCAGAGTAGGGGAATGAGTGATTGATTGGATGTTTTGGAGCAGTAGATGACTGGAATGAAATGTATGGCCAGTTCTCTGATATTTGACTTTAAGCTCAACATAGTTAGATTTAGGCAACAAGGATGAAACGCAGACGGTGGAAGTGGTGATTGTCGTGATGGGCCATGGAACAGAGGTAGAAATCACCATTTTGGGCATCTATCTGTAGGATTGGCCAATGCACCTTAAGTGTGGACACCATCTGTCTGTCAGTGTGGGCTTGTTTGTTGCTACAATGCTGAACAGCTTTCTGTGCAGTTTTCAGACTAAGACTAGGAAGAAGACCCTGGCAATGTACTTCTGAAAAACAGCCAATGAAAACTCTATGGATCACGTTTGTTTGATCTTTTGCATCGGTCACCATGAGTTAAAAGCCAGCAACATGACATCTATAGAGCTTATTTGTGACACTCCTGTAATGTCAAGTTGACAGCTGGTAATAAGGATTTCAAATTTGAAGAAATGATACAGATATTATGGGATAGGGGCATAAATTTATCAGATAAAGAATTAAAAGAACCCTGGAAAATAATAATATCTGAGGCGCAGAAGGAGCTCAAAAAGCCAATGCAGGAAATTGGTAAGGGATGATGAATGAGGCAGGAGGAGAATTAAGTTAATTGATTGGTGACCATTACCCGTGTTTATTTTGTCATCTTATGCTATTAAGGCTTTTTAATATTAAAATTTCTATTCTGATTTTTAATGTTTTTCTTTATTTGTTTATTATAGTTGGAAAATGTGGAATTGGTGAACATAATTCCCCCAATCCCACCTATAAGTCCTAGATTTGGAAAAATCCAAAATATTTCTTTACTGGTTACTCCAGACATTGCAAATGGAGAAATCGGCTTTACTGGCTTTCTTCCTATCATTCTGCATGAACCAGAAGATTCTCTGGCTGAAGTGGTAAGTAGGCTTTTTCTTATTGTTGGGCCTAATGAGTTTGAAGTTATGTACAGACGTTATCTTCCTATACAGTTAGCATATAGAGTTAACAAATTTTGAAAACCTTCCCCATTTACAACAAGCCTTGAATATATAATTTGACATAAGTAACTGATGAGTGTGATTTCCATCATCCTTTGCCATATTAAATGGAATAAAATTAGAATTAATTATGTAAAGTGAGTGTAGGATATTTTGATAGGGCTGCATTTTGTAATGCTATGCTATTTGACATAGCAATAGCCAAAAAGAATTTGCTTTTTAATGACCATTTCAGGTACCATAGGCACCCTTGACCTACTCCATCTCTGAGCGTTCCCTGTGAATGCCATGGTAGGACTAGGGTGGCTGCCTTGTGCTGTATACTTGGTGGTAGAGGTGGTGGTAGTAAATTTATGGAGTGCTGAATCTTAGGAATTTTCCATTATATATATGTACATATTTGTATATTTCTATATATACATAGATACGTACACACATACGTGCATATTAAAAGCATATGCACATATATAAGGCCTGCCTGCCCCTCCCACCCATACATTTTGTTGTTGTTGTAATGGTTGAATAGTTCCAAGCTTCTACTGGTCTTTAGTCTCACAATCTGTCCTCATGACCCTCTCCAGGTTTGTTACACTTAGATGTGGTTTAAATTGGGTTGAAGGTCAGATCAGGAATATGGAGGGTTGTTTTTGTTATTAAAGCATCATGTAAAAATATGGTGACTGCAACTTCCTTAGTTTTCATACTTGATTCTATGAATGAACAAAGTAGCTTCAGTTTTTAAGATGTCTATGATTTTTTAAGGAGCTCTGGTAGCATAGTGCCTAAAGCACTTGACTGTTAACCAGAAGGCTGGCGGTTCAAATCCACCAGCCACTCCTCTGAAGGAAGGTTGGGCAATCTACTTCCGTAGTGTTACCGCCTCGGAAACCCAAGGAGGGGTCGCTATGAGTCAGGTCTAACAGGATGGCACAGAACAACAACAACAACATGATTTTTTAAATGTTTTTCTTAATATATTGTTTTCTGCTATGTTAGGAGAGAATTCATTTTCTTTTTTTCCTAAAGAGAGTGGATTGCTTTTATTTGTTTATCTTACAAAGCTGTAAATTTACACTTTCCTATTTTTCCCTTGAGAGAAATTAGTGTTTAGGGAATGTTTTGGGCTCCATGTTTTGGCTGGTCTGCTGTTACTTTTTTGAATTTGCTTTGAATGTTACTTTACTCACTAGTTGCAGGCCCTGACCATTGCCCTCACCATTAATGGTGAGAATGTCTTCTATTGTTTTAGGACAGGATATGTGAAAGGGCAAAGAGTGAAGAGGATACCTCTCTTAAGAGCTTAAAAAAGTAGCATATCACTGCCATTAAATATTCATTCATATTCCTTGTTTGAAAGTGCCTATTGTAATCAGCAGTAATTCTTTTCATTATATAGACTTAAAATGTACTACTCTTGAATGAAAGTATAAACTACAGTGTGTTTTCATACTTATTGATAATAGCTTTCATTATTTAGCTCATACTATGGAAAGATCCTGTCCTATATGCTTTACTTAAATGATTTCTCATACCACAAACTTAGAAAATAGGAACGATTAGCTTCATTTTACAAGAGGAAATTTAGTTCCAAGAGATTAAGTCATTTACCCAAGGTAACTCAGAATCATGATTTGAGTATCTTATTTTCTTTTGGTTTCTACTATATTTATTTGATTGGATAGAAAATAATTTTTACTTTGCCCCCATCACTTAGGGATGTATTTTATATTACATGTCATTTTAAGTTTTAATAAATAATTTTTCAGCTTGTGTGGTCACATTTATTGATTAATGTAATTTCTTTTTGTAGAATCTCTCATGGAAATTTATTGGTTAATTAATTTATAAACTTGTTCATTGTTTTTCAGATTATTTTACTCTTAAATTATTTAACTTTTTATTGAGACAAATCTCTGGATAGGCACATTTTTAGATGTGGATAATTTTGTAGATAAATTTGATTAGCAAAACTAATGATATCTAAATTATTTTCATGTTTAAAAAGACTTGTTCAATTACATTTTTAATGTCATTTCACATTGCACTTCTCTACATAGAATACATGAAATAACAACATGTGCTTGCACTAAATGCAATGATTATATAATTTGGTAAGCATATATTTCAGAAAAAAAATGTTCTTTTTCTTTTTTTTTTAAATAAGATATACATTCCTTTACATCGGGATGGAACAGATGGGCAGGCTACTGTCTATTGGAGTTTGAAGCCCTCTGGTTTTAATTCAAAAGCAGTGACCCTGGATGATATAGGTCCCTTTAATGGCTCTGTTGTGTTTTTATCTGGGCAAAGTGACACAACAATCAACATTACCGTCAAAGGTGATGACATACCGGAAATGAATGAAACCCTAACACTTTCTCTAGACAGGTAATAACACCTTCAGATAACGTTTAGCAATATTTTCATGTTCATATTTTTCTTACATAATTTTGCTTTTTGTATTCATTCTTTTCTCCATATAATGTTGAGAAAAATCAAGTAGATAATGTTATGCTGGCCTTCTGACTTTTTTGTTATTTATTGATGGTTAGTTTAGACTGATTATTATTATATTTTTCAGAGAAATTTTACTCTGCTGTTTATTGTGAAGAAGCATTACAAAGAGTATGTGGGAAGTATCAGATAACTTTGAAGCATAGCTAATATGTTGTTGCCGTACTAAAAAAAAAAATAGGCAACAACAGATCTAAAATGTTAAGTTAACCAAACAGCTTTTGGCTTCATTTTCAATAAAGGGGAGGATTAGAGGTTTTGAGTGAGTGAAAATAAATCTTTAATCTTCACATAATGAAATTCTCTTTCTTTACATAGAATGCAAGCATTAAATAATAATTTTCAGAGAATCAAAAATAATACAATTTAAGTGGTATTTTTTCTGCAATAAAGATTTAGTTAGCATGCCTCAGTGGGTAATTTGTATTAAGAAAAGATTGTATTCTCTCAAATTTTTTTTTCCAGTAAATGAAAAAATCCTTTCTAAGAATGAAAAAATAAATACTATGTTTAATTGATGAATTGATGCTAATGAATGCTTTTGTTTTTTAAATCAAAAGCAAACTATTCTCCTAAAAGCACTTTAAAAGTTGAGAGTTAGGGAAGATTGTTGTGACTTGAATGCTTTCTTTAAAATCTGTATTTTAAAAAGTAAATATCACAAATTAATCCAATAAATGATATTTTAGACCATGTTATTTACAATAAGTAGTAATAATCATTTTATATAGCTTATGTTCCTCTCTGTATTTTATTATCAACCTCCTGGCTTCTTTGTAGATACTTTGTCTCAACACACTTAAGGTTTTAGTACAACCTTTCTTTTACCACTCAAACTCGAGAGGGATACAGCTTTAAAAATCTGATGGAATAATATAGAATATAGGAAGCAATTTATTTAATGCCCACTATTAATTTTCTTTGCTTTGTGAACCATATATTGTATTTACTTACTTTCTTACTTAAAAAAAAAAGCACAAAAACAAAACAAGCAAATTAAGAAAAACAAGTCAAATAACATACAGTTTTTTCAACAACCTTGGAAAAAAAAAAGAATAGTGATTATAATCTAAAACTATAGTAATCCATAAAATTTATAAGGTCAGTTGAGAGTTTCTCCTTGGAACTAAATATTTAAAGATTTAAATAAATTTTAAAAAAAGCCCTCAAATTTAAATACCTCTGAAAATTCATGGTGGCTCTTCTTTGTAATCACATGTTTTCATAACAGTCATATTTGAACCTATGGAAATATAAGTTTAATTAAATGCATTTTTAAGTATTCTATTTCTTACTTTTTTTCCCTCTCTCCTTTGGATTGAAACAGTAAAAAAGTAAATCTAAATCATGGGATAAAGAACTTTAGAAATTAATGATTCCTCTAGAGCATACTTATATTATTGCAATGTGTCTGAGCAAGAATGAGCCAATTATGTTTGAGTGTTTCTAAGACATATTTAGTTAAATAAAATATGAGAATAAAATCTATGATTTCAAATAACATGTTGTTTATCAAAATCATCCCAGTGTTGCTAATTTTAATAAAATGAAAATGAAAGAATGAATAAGTGATAGTAAATTGTTATTGCAACAATATTGCAACAAAATAATTAATACTTTATTGTGATAGAGTTAGAAATTTTCTCTTAATGTCAAATTCAAGTTCTCTAGTTTTCAACTGTATATAGATAAAAGTTGTCCTGGTACTAAGCAATTCATGATGCTCTCAATATCATACTAGTTAAACATATTTTGTTGTTTAATTTTCCCCAAGGTGGAAACAATTTCATAATGCCATTTTATTTCAGATAATATATGAGATATATAACTCCATGTTTCTAAAGGTGTATTTGACTTTAAAAATGGAGCACAATGGCTCTACATTTCGACATTTTCAAAGTTGTTTGAAAATGAAATAAATTGGGGTTTAGAAAAATTTTCAGATTTCTTGATATAAAATTGTATTTAAGTAATATCTGTTATTATTAAAGCACATAAAGATATTTTATAGCAAATGCTGAAAGGTATATATTTCTCTGATTTGTAAAGTTTTATTTATTCTAAGTCAAAGACAACAGGCATTGAATCTGAGGACTGAGCTTTTTATTTTTTTTAAATCTAATTAAAGCTACCAAGCAATTATAAATAGGGCTGAATGAAATTTGCTCAGCTGCTGCGGCTTATGAGTATGTACAGTGCTTGGCAGGCACAAACGCCTAGGAGGAGGCCTGGAAAGGAATGTCTTGAATGAGTTTTAACATGCTGGCTGGCCATGGGGTCATCTTCTGTAAGTGGGAATTGCTGAACCCTTTGCTAGCAATTGTTAATAGCAAAGTACTAGTGTGCAGAGTTCCCATAAAGTGAACATTGCTAATGCTTGGGAAAAAAAAGAAGGGCTTTCTTTAGCTTTGTTTTACCCTGCCATTCTAAATTTCTTAGCAGTATTAGTGAGATTTTGGCAAATGGTGCCCTGTCTTTTTTTTTTTTTCCCCCTCCCACACTTCTTTCTGTGTTGGCAGGGTAGAAACAGAAAGGTTTGTGGTGTATTTTGGGTAAGTGTACAAAATATCACCTTGTTTTTGATTATACAGCATTTTGCTTTGCAAGTGATTGTTTTGGACAAGGCTGCCTTTCTGCATGACCCACGTCTTTGAGTGATTTTGTTTGTGCGTCTGCCTGTGCATGCCTTGTGTGTAGTTTCATTTTCTAATGATAATGGGGCATATATGAAGGTTTTATTTTTGTCCTAAGAGTTTTAAATTAAGTGTTTAGAATATCCGATAAAAAGTTTTAAGTATTATTGCAACTATATTTTTACATTGTAATTTGTACACTACAAAGCATGTATTGTAGCTATGTTTTGAAGAACTTAAAATTTGAACTGTTTTTATAGTTTACACCTAACCTAGACAATAAGGATTGTGTTTAGCTTTTGAAATTCTTCCACAAGATCTTTTATGAATCCTGTGGTTTGTTTAATAATCAATAGTCTCATCCTTCCCATTGGTTTTCTGAGAGCATCTCAGCATTTTCTTGCCTACATCGTCTCAGATGTATACAGACCTTCCAAAACTTGCCTTTTCCCATAGTATGGCATATTTCAAGAAAGTCTAAAACTAAATTTGTTTATGTAATGCTCAGAATAGACTTTTATATTCTGATCTATTTTTTCTTGTCTTTTAGTGTATATGGACATGAAACATTTTAATTAGTGAAAATATTAATTTCAATGAAATATGGGCATGTTTGCTATGAAAACCATATGACTTCATCAACAATAGGATAAATATTATTTGGACTCTCTCTTCTGTGGCTCCCAGCATGCTGAGTACTGGTTGTCAGATTTCCAACAGCTAGGGAAGGGTATTAGTTCAGATTCCCTATTACATAGGAAGTGAGCTGTGCTTTCTACATTGTGGCTTCATTGCAATTTTGAGGTCTGATCATAAGTACTCTTTGGTTCAATAGAAAATGACATTTGGAAAGGTTTAGAGCATCTTGCAGGACTGAGAATTCTCAAAGAGCCTGCTGGCTTTTAAACCTTCAGAGCCTTGCAATCCAAGTCTCTTTGATCATTCTAATTATACTCTGTGCATAAAAACCAGAAAGGAAAGAAAAACATCTTGTTTTCATATGTTCTTTTGAGGTATGTATAAGCATTGTTATAACATGCCATACATCTCAGATCCATTCTACTTAGTTTTTTTTCTCATATGTCCTATGTTTCCTTTTATTCTGAAAAAACAAAACAAACAAACAAAAAAAACATGGGGTTAAAATTTAGGTAAACATAAAAGTATTTTAAAGAACAGAATATTTCTAAAATCTAGTCATAATATATTTTCAATCAGTTTGGCTTGCTTTAATCCATGCAGTTATACAACTTCTGTGTCCAGCTAGTATCTTAAGCAATGAACTTTTTTAAATAAATTGAAGGGAATGTAAAGTTAAATTGCAATTTTCTTTAAATATATATCTCTAAATTTTACAAATTAAAATTTTCTTATACTATGGAAACAAAGGGAGCTCTGGTAGCGTAGTGCCTAAAGCACTGGACTGCTAACCCGAGGGCTGGCGGTTCAAACCCAGCAGCCACTCCTCGGAAGGAAGTTTGGGCAATCTAATTCCGTAGTGATACTGCCTCAGAAACCCAAGGAGGGGTCGCTATGAGTCGGGTCCAACTCGACGGCACATAACAACAACAACAACATGGAAACAAATCTGTAAAGTAGGATACTTCATACAAAATAAAATATACTACACATCCAGCCTTTGATTGCTATATTCTTGATGTACATATGCAGAGTCTGGTTTCAGTCAAAGAAAAAAAGTTAGAAATGTTATAAATAGTGCCATAACTCTCTGCCATAGTGTCGCATCTGATCCATAGCGACCCCTCCATGGGTTTCCTAGGCGGTATCACTATGGAAGTAAATTGCCCAGTTTTCCTTCTGAGGAGTGGCTGGTGGGTTTGAACTGCCAGCCTTCTAGTTAGCAGTCAAATGTCTAAGGCAGTACACCACCAGAGCTCCTAAATAGTGCCACAGAAGCTTGGAAAATTTAAAAATAAAACTGTAGGTAGCTGGTAACTTTTCTCCCTCTGACTTCTCCAGGGTCAGTGTAGAAAATCAAGTGTTGAAATCTGGATATACTAGCAGGAATCTAATTATTTTGGAAAATGATGATCCTGGGGGAGTGTTTGAATTTTCTCCTGCTTCTAGGGGACCCTATGTTATCAATGTAAGTATGAAAGAAGCACAGTCCATCTTTGCTTACAACTTCAGGAGAATGACATGGAAAAGTACTTGACTGTTTGTGAATTTTTGTTTTCTCTTAAGGAAGGAGAATCTGTAGAGCTCCACATTGTCCGATCCAGGGGGGCTCTTGTGAAGCAGTTTCTACACTATCGAGTAGAGCCAAGAGATAGCAATGAATTCTATGGAAACATGGGGATACTCGAATTTAAACCTGGGGAGAGAGAGATAGTAATCACCTTGCTAACAAGATTGGATGGGATACCAGAGGTATGGGCTCTTATTTTTACCTTGTGCTTTTCCTTGCTGATGATTGATGTTATCTAGCATATTATGAATATAAACATTTTGTACATTGGTGAAGAGGCACAAAAGGAAGTGGGCAAAAAAGGATCAAGCAGTACTTGTGTGTGGGAAAACAAGCCAATAAAAGAGAAAAGGTAAGACTGATTCAAATTTAAATGATGTATTTTTGGCTTACATACAAAAATATCAAACAATATTCATCTTTTTTCACTTGTTAGTTAAGCTTTATTTTATGTAATTTCTATTGGCTGTATTTTTAATGATATGGTTTTGGACTGAAGAACCTTTTGCTGTAAAATTTTTAAAGGAAGTAATTTTGATTCATATTAATGGAACCAAGGATAGTTCCATTATGCTTACACACTAATGTATATGTAGCTTTTAAATTTATTGTATTTTATTTTCTCATTAGTTTAACTGACTGGACCTTACTTTAAATGACTGGAACCATCTGAGATATTATTATTTTAGTATTGCCATGTTTTATTTTTTCTCTTTTTGGACAATGTATAGGTGTGTTTGTTACCTTTTATTTTATTTTATTTTATTTATTGTGATTTGGGTGAAGATTGACAGAGTGAATTCACTTTCCATATAGCAGTTCACATAAACTTTGTCTCATGTCATTCACCACAGTTTACAATGCAACAGCTCCCCTCCCACTTCCTCCCCATAGTTAC